CCCCGAAACGCATTAAAATGCAAGATAAATTAAAAAAATAAAAAGCAACTCTGTCGAACCACAAAAAATTAGTTTTAAGGCAAATTTCTGCATTTGTATTAATTTTTGAGTAATTATTGTTAAGTAATTAGTGTTATCAATGGTCAATGTGTTGAAAAACTATATTTTTTCTGAATTTTAACCGTAAATAGGACCTAGATATGTATTTTAAGACAAATGATCACATTTTAGTAATTTTTCAAAAAAACTAAAAAATCACCAAATCAACATGGAGCACTGTTGTAATTCTTAAGTCTAAACCAAGGTAAAAATGTCTCTTTGGCCTTGAGGGATACAAAGACCACTTTTAACAATGGTTTATACTCACCATGGTCTTTGCACTCTTGAATAATGCAAAAGGTGGCCGAGTAATGAGGAGTCCTGCCTTTCATGCAGTAGATCACAGGTTCTGCTGTCTGAAATTCGTTAAGGAGATTGTCAGGCTTTAAACACTGCCAAAGTACTACAGTATAAATGTGAACCATTTCTATAGCCAATCATGAATGATGGGTCGGTAATATTTTCGTCAATATTGTAGGATTAAATCCAAAGTTTTCTAACTCACACTATAGCACTGATGATATTTGGTCCCTGTGTTTATTTAAACAACACATTGTTATTTATTATTGTTTTGCACAATATTTTAGAGCTGTTCAAATGCCGAAACTGCATAATTTCACTTGCTGCAGTGCCTGCAAAAGGTAGACAGCAGCTTGGTTACAGCAGCTTCATGTCCTGTAGAGAGGTGAAAGAAAATATAGATAAAGTCAAACATGCAGCATTAAACAGGAAACTGTAGTTAAAAATCATAGCCACTTATTTCAGAGCAAAATTAATCTTCTGACACGATGTCGTAGGTGAAATAATGTTTTTTATTTCTGGTGGTTTTGGAACATCAGAGAAGTACTGTATATACATATATATGTACGATGTACATAACGTTGTTACTTACAATAGTACGACTGTACAATAAACATGCAGAAAGGCATATGGTGCAAAAAATATATTACAATATTAAAGTAGATTAGTATTAAAATACTAATGACTAATGAGATGCAGATTCATTCTGCTGTACACACACCTGAACCATGCAAGAATGAGTATAACCTGCTCTTTTCTAAAATACAATACATCTTTATTTTGTATCTGTATTCTGGCTATGTATATTTAGTGGCTGTGAGATAATCAGCTAAAATCCTATCCGTATTGCATTTGTACTGTGTGTTTGCAGTACAATGATAGAGATCTGACTTTAAATATGACTCCGAACGCTCTGTCCTGTCTTCATTTTTTTCATCATTTGGCTATTTTTTATTTTAAAAGATTACTTACAAGTTTTCATCTAAATATTTGTTTAACTGTGATGGGTCCATGTCAATATTTTACAGAGTTATATTTTACAGCATTATTACAGTTTCATCACCAGGGACTCAAAAATCAATATCAACGAATGTGTAGGTATAAATGTAAACAGACATGAGAAGAGAAACTGTTACAGTTTCTGTTTGTGACTAGCAAAGGAACCACTTGTTTCTATTCACTATTTGCCTTGGCACAATAGGCCGTTCCTCATTGAAAAGGAGAGAAGGCAGCAGGGGGAGCCGATAGTCCTGGAGGGGGTTTATTCATATCACATGCCTGATATTTAACTTGCCATTCTCTTCTGCCCAGGCCCACATGCACGGGGAAATGAGCTGTGCACTTCTTCACACTGTGCTGCAGAATGTCCTAGTTAGCAGCGTTTAATATTAATGACTAGAAAAAGGTGTTGCTGCAAAATGATGCTCACAGTGTTTAGGCAGCTGATGCAGTGTTTTTAACCCACTGGGAGCTTAGTGGGCCGTAGCTGAGTCCTGGAAGGCTTCCAGTTGGAATAATAGGGTCAAATGGTGTGACAGTTTCAGACCTGAGGAGACAGACCTCGTATTCCCTTGTTGGTCCATTTGCTGCACTGTATGAATGGGTTCTTCAGTGCTGAACAAAGGCCAGCAGGAACATGACAGAACCTCCCCTACAGAAGAGAAAGATTACCACAGCAACTTAGAATTAAAAAAAAAAATGTTTACAATGTTTAAATGTATGATGCTTGCTGTTTTTTTTCACTGATTTGTTTCCCTCTGTGTCAAACTTCTATTTGTAATGAATGTTTTTGACATGCTTTTTGAAAAGCAAACCTTCATTCAGTCATCATACCAACATGAGTGGTAAGAAAGTAAGAAAAACAAACTTACTTGTATCCTGCCGTCCTCGACCTCCTGTGTTTCAATGTGGTTCAGTAGAAACCTGTGTCAAAACAGTGTGTAGAACATGAGACATTGCTGCAACAGTCCAGTTTGGTATTCTGTTTGTTGAAAGCAACATAAAACACAAACGTCTGGTGCTGTAACTTTCAGATTTGGACTTTTTCAAATGAAGTCAGGAAGCCACATTAACACATTAGCGCCTGGCTTTGTGACCAACCTTGCTACGGTGACATCAGTCTTCATAATTCTGTGGGCCATGATGAGCTAACCTGCCACCGACACTTTATGTATCATCTATTATCCACTTTTAGGCTAAAACACTCCATGGGTTGTCATTCTGCATTTCAGATGCACAATTCCATTTGTGTACACTTAACTGTTGATTGGATTAGGAATATGGCCTTGGACTGAGCACAGGATTTCCTAAATATTGGTCCGACTCTTATTTGTATTACTGCCAATATGCTTGATGTTTTGCAGTATCTTCAGTCACTCGTTTTGGCCTGTAATATATTTAAGGCTTCTTTAGTTTGTTTGCATCTTTCTATAGCAATATTGAAGTGGATGGATGAATGACAGATTAATATTATTTTTTTTTTCTGTCCTGTTTAGTGTCCTGATTCAGCATGCAAGCAGGACCTGCTGGCCTACCTGCAGAGAATCGCCCTGTACTGTCATCAGCTCAACATCTGCAGCAAGGTTAAAGCTGAGGTTCAGAACCTGGGAGGAGAGCTCATTGTCTCTGGGGTGAGTTTATTAATGTCTCAGCCTCCTATAAGTATACGGCATACGTATACCTTACACTGTGGTGCTGTAATGTGACAGTGAACTACTACATTTGCTGTGTTCAGTCACACTGCACAGCAGCGTGAGAGCACGCTTGTTATGCTTCTTGTTTAGACATCACAACACAGACAAATGGCTTATTGAAGGAGGGAAGGGTGTAACAATTTGTTTGTGATTTGTCTTACTCTACACACAGACAAACAGACACACACACAAACACAAACAAACTCACCTGGGAAGCTCCTGTTCTGGCTGCTCCATTCTGAAAACAAAACAAGATCCAGACACAGCGTTATTAATCCTATTTACAAATAGCTGGTAAGGTTGCTTACAGGGGAAAATATGATTCTGGTGTATGTAAAATAAACTGCAATTGTGTTAAAAACTTAAATACCCACATTATGTTTTGGTTTTTAATGATTGAACTCTAGATGGATAGATGGGGCACAGTGTCTGTGAAGATAATCAGCTAAAATCCTTTCCATATACAAAGTTGTAGCACAGGGCATCATACAAGTGGTGGCTTGGTGGTTAAGGCAGCAGACTTGGGTCTGGAAGGTTTCAGGTTCAAGTCCACCAGGGTGTACTGAGCATGGCACTGTCCCCAGCTTAAGCTTTCCCCTTGCTCACTTTGGTGATGGGTAAAATGTTTAAACATGAATCTGATTTCTCAAATTGTTACTTTTTTAACATTTAACATTTTGACTATGTTGAACATTCTTTAGAGAAAGGGAGTTTGTTTGTTCAAACACTTTGTAGGTGATTATATTTAACACATTTTATTTTATTTGTGAACTAAATATATTTTTTAAATGGGTTTTGTTGTTTTGATGTTTATGTGCTTTTCATGTTTTTAATACGATAACGTTGCCTAGAACCACAGGAAAAGGTCAGGCATATTAGGGATGATGCAATTATTTCTGAACAATTACCATGTCACAATACCAGAAAGATCCACAGAGAGGTTTTTCAATTGTATTGTTTATGCCTCATGATTCTTATTATTACTGCTTAAAGAAATATCAGATAATCAGCCCATATTCCTTCACCGACATTTGCTAATTCCATTGATCCTCAATATATATTTTGTAGATGTTGTATTCTATAACCAAGCTTAGTGCAGTGGTTAGCATGCCTGCCTTGGAAGCGAGAGTTCTGGGTTCAATTCCCAGAGAAACCCCACGCTTGCTTTTAACACAAGAATTTCCCTATTATGGGATCAATATAGTTCAAATTATTATTATTATTATTAATACATATCAAGTAGTATTTTCCACTCCAAAGGCATATTTAATTGTAATATGTTACGTATTTGAATTCAAACTAAAGAAAAGGAGTCAATCCACTACACACATGAACTTCTAACTCTCTCTCTTTTTTTCATTATATCCAGAAATGTGTTCATGTGTGTGTCTCAATCAATGACTTTGCTGACACTCACCCTATTAAACCGAGTGGGTGTCGAATCAATATCCATTTACGGCTGGGCTGCAAAATCCAAATCCTGACTTTGCACTCCAAGGAACTATCCTTTCATTCTTGACACACGACTGAAACGTAGGAAAAAAGGAGGAACGTTAGCAATGTTAGCAAGCAAAGAAAAAAAAAATCATGTAAACATTGCTGTTACTCTCCTATAAAAGACAAGTACAAAATCATATGTAATTCTGTGAAAGCCAAAAAGCTCAATTTCTTAACATGGTATCACAAAAATATTTAGACAAAATCTGAAGGCAGTGCATTGATAGTTTTTTTCATTCATGTTAATTTCATAATAAAAGCATAACAGACTTGTCTTGGCTAGTCCATATGTCTTGTGGTGACGTCGTTCCACACAATCACATAGGGCTCTATGGTCTTTATTATATGAGTTTTGCATGGCCTGCTGAGATTTTAACCTTTTCATGATGGCCAGCTGGAGTCCATGCTCATTAAATCTGCACAGTTGACTCGTCACAGCATGAGTTAGGAGGGCGCTCACTGGCCAGCGACCCTTAAATGTCAGCCAAACAAAACAAAGGAAGACAGAGGTACTCCTGACCCTTGTCTCCGCTAATTAAGGCCTGCGAAAATAAGATGTCATAAAATGATGCCCATGTTTTTATCCTGCTTAATTGCCAGCGTGGCACCGGCCTCCTAGGTGCCGTCTGTATCTAATTAAGCTCTAATGCCCCTAACTGAATACAATGAAATGTTGCTTTTTTTTCTGCACATCCAGCTTTCTCATTTTTCTCATTCTGTCTTTGTCTTGCAGCTGGATAGCGCCACCTCCCTGATCCAGGCGGCCAAGAACCTGATGAACGCCGTGGTCCTCACAGTAAAGGCATCTTATGTAGCCTCCACCAAGTACCAGAAGGTTTACGGAACGGCAGCGGTCAACTCACCCGTGGTGTCCTGGCGCATGAAGGCCCCTGAGAAAAAGCCGCTGGTCAAACGAGAGAAGCCTGAGGAGTGTCAGACACGCGTGCGACGAGGCTCCCAGAAAAAACACATCTCTCCCGTCCAGGCCCTGAGTGAATTCAAGGCCATGGACTCCTTCTAAGAAGAAAGAATATACCTGCTCCCCCACCCCTAGAAAAAAAACATTCAAATAAAGGGGTCCCTTTTTACATTGTGTTAATCCACCTGTTGGACGTGTCTGTGCTCGGTGACATCTCAGGAGGACTACAGTATTACTTAACTGCCACACTGCAGCTCCTTCGAACACTGTGGCCCAAAGACAGCCGGCACGCACCCAATAATATTTATCTCTCCTGTTGTAGCTAAATATCTGAGAGTCTCTTTAAAAACATAATATGGGAGTTTGAAAACGAAACGTAACAGAGGAGGAACGGTCTCGCTTAAAACAAACGTGCGGCAGTTGGTGTTCTCGCTATATCATTGATGTGCTACTGACCGCCTGCTTGTATACTCATTTAAACTATCGGAAAGAAGTCATTCTAAAGGGAATATATCCACGACGGTTTGCTCTCAATTAATATTTGTCCTTTTTTAATGTTGTGAAGTATTTGTCCTGGCTGTAGTGCTAGGAGTAATCTACAGTCAAGGTACCAGGAAATATCAGCATCCCAGTAGTCCATGCTCTTGTCCATGATGATTATCTATTAACCTGTATGGTGTTCTTTTCTAAAGCACATATACGGTCTATTGTATTGCCTTTGAAATTCATTTATTTAATTATCTCATCACTAACTATGACCACATTGACTGGAAGTCATGTAGCGTAAATAGATTATAGTCCGAGAGGTTTGACTAGTTGTGGTTTGCTTTGAGATTAGAACTTCCTGCATACATTTATAATTGCCCTTCTCTAATAAACCCCTCAAGTTCACACCAAACATTCGACGTTTCTTTCTTGACTATTAAGACACATTCATTTATATTTGAATCAAAGGATCTGGAGCAGTGGTTCTCAAACTTTTTATACTCTGTACCACCTGAGAAAACACTGATCTCTCTGAGTACCACCATGACCAACATTAGAATATAGCAGCAGAGGCCTTCACTATTAGCTTCCACCAGAAAGATGTTTATAAAGATGTTTATGTGTGTTGTATTAATTGTGCATGGTATGTTTCAGATGTATTCAATTGAAAATGTAAATGTGAAAATGTGAATTTTCCCCACGTACAACTAGAGAGTGCTCGCATACCACTGGTGGTACACGTACCACAGTTTGAGAACCACTGATCTGGAGAATAATATATATTCTATTTCATTATGCAAGGCATGCAGATTAAAAGAAGAAGAAGAAAAAAAAAAGACTTACATGTCAGAACATGGATATTGATTCCTGGTCATGGGTCAAGTCCTATTACTTTGCTTTGACATGGTAATTGCTTGGAAATTGGTCCAATCTGGGAAAAGGGGCAGTTTACTATTATAGGTTAATCCAGTGTTTCACAGACCATTAATCAATCATGAGCAGAAAAACACAGAAAGCTGTTGATTTCGTTTGCATAACTGTCCCTCTGACTGACAGGGAACAACGGTGTCATTCAACTTTTCATTCATTTGACTTGTTATTAAGAGAATTGAGAGATGTCATTACAGTTGTTATTTACCGTGAAGTAAGTATAAGCTGGTCGGGATTTCTCTTAGACAGATGGTCCCTCATCATTGTCACTTCTTGCTTGCAGTAGAAACACAAATCTGTAAAAGAAAAAACAAAGAAATAAGGAATGTTGTGAAACCTGAGGAGCTTTCTGTGCAGCATCATGGGAAAAGAGCAAAGTAACAACAAAGCACATCCTTGTCTTTGGTCTTTATCAAGTATACTTCGACTAATAACAAATAGACAAAACCAAACCAGAGTGACTTTTTGTCTTGGAAAGGTTTATGAATATCAATATAATATAATCGTTTTTAAACCTTGAAGGTTCTGAAATCTTTGAATTCACCAAATATTGCAGGAAACTCCAATGAATCTAGTTTGTTTCCTTAGTTACATGGCATAAATTAGAACATTAGGTCAAGTTAAAAAAAAAACATGTTTTGTTCCAATCAACTTTAAATGAAATAAAAAGCTTTAAATGCCAAAAAGAAAAACCAACACTCAGCATCCTTTAAAACATCATAAGAGTGAACAGATACTGAAGGATATTATCCATATTTGGAAAACTTTGTCAACAAATATAATAAAAAAGTGGTGAATACATTTTTTTGCAGTGTTATTTTATTGCATTTCGCAACATACTTTACACGTGGAATTGCATTTGCAAAATATGTTGGATTAGGACAAAGATAATGGCAAATGTGAGAGGAAGTCTGAGGAGAAAGATCTGAAGGAAAAGCAAAGAAATCCTATCAAAATAACCACAATTTAAAATTAACCAACATCTGATCAGAGACTGTTTTCAACCATAAGTCCACGGTTGACTGACAAAAGAAAGTTAAGCTAACTAGCCCAACATTTGCATGGTGACAGCTTTAATCCAACAGTGAAATAAGATAAGAAAGACACATAATGTGGGTGAAAAAGTGCAAACACAAAGAAAGGAATCAGATAACAGTTACATGGCATGTTGTTTGTGAAGCGGAAACAGTGGTGAAACTCCATTGTCAACGCAGTTGAGTGTTGTGTGTTGAGAGTTTGTGCACTGTGGTGGTGTAAAGTGTAAATTACAGTGGTGTGGAGTGGTGTAAATTACATAATGTAACAACTTGTGACCTGCTGCAACCCAGCCTTCATCACTGTAGGAACCCATAACCAGGTAGTGATGTATTTGTCATGTAACTGATGGCAATGTAGCTATAAAAAACTAAAACTGTAGCTAATGAAAACCACCCAGCAATATGTTAACTATTGATTATAATGAAAACCACCCAGCAATATGTTAATTGATTCTTTAAATAAAGTAACAAGTATAGACGGTATTTACAGTATTAACTGATCTCTAGCCACCTGATGTGCCTTTATACCTTGATATACAAAAAAAAGTAGGACAGGAAAGAAAACATCAACGTCCCTAATAATCTTTATGTAAACTTACACTTACTCTACATCCGGTATATGAGCCAGAAATAACCACTGACATCCACGTCAGGAAAGAAAAGAGCTGTTTTCACTAAGCTGTAAATTTGCTACGTGAGTCAGTACAGCAGGACATTTCACAATGCTTGAGGCCACGAACACAAATGTTTGAGATTTCAGAATAGACGTTGTTGAGCAGGCTTCATATGTTACATCTATATAGCTGCTGTTAAACCTCCGAGACCTGGACACAAGTTAATTTTCCCCTCAAGCCAAAGAAAGCAGCGAATCAGTTTCTTCAAGAATCGATACAATGTATTTCTTTCAGAAAACCGTTCAGTCCAGCCCTGAGGGGCCATGAACGGCACACCCTGCCTTTAAAACACAGAGATCCATTTAATTATTTTCTCCTAACATGACCTTGATGCCCCGTGAATCAAATCAAATCTAACGCAACAAGTTTAATTGTTCCAGCAACAGCTCACACAAGACTTAACAGGGCAATTTAGCAGATTGGTCCTTACCTTTTGTGTATCCACATTGTACCCTTAATGGCTATTAAACAGGCCGTGCATCAGGCACCCATGCATATCCAAAGTACCCTAAGAAAGCAGGGCCTCGGGGGAGATGTTGTGACACAGTCCACTTAATGGAGAGATCAATTACTGGCTGTGGTGCTGCTGAATGAACTGCTGTGTGTTTCTCTGTGTCTACCATCCAAATGAAAAATGATTTAACACCCAGAAGGTATTGATTATTTTATCTTTTTAAAGAATAAGTAACTAACAGGCATGCAATGTCAAATATTAAAACATTGATTGGTGATAAAGTAATGGTATATGGTGTGTTCCCAGTGAGACTGAATATAATCAAGAACAGCTAACCCTGCTGCTAACCAGCTATTGACGTAAGCATATGCATTCAACATAGCTAACCAGCTATTGACGTAAGCATATGAGTTAAATGACAAAGTTCCCTGAGGCATAATGGTGATGAACTGCATTCAACCAGATGCTACAATATGGTTTTTGGCTTTTAGTCTCGGGTGTCAGATGCCTTCTGACACTGAGAACACAAGAGACTGCCATCTGCTTAGCTGGACATCAGAGCTGTAAAGGGACCTCATTTATGGCTGCGGTTGTTTTATTACCCAACATGAACATTAAATCACGGAAAGTAGAGTTGAATTATCTTTTATCGAAGCTGATGGGTGTCTCTTTAGCCGTTTACTAAGTTTTCAGAAGGCCATTAGGGTTATTACCTAAACAGTTGTTTTCTCTGCTCTAAAACAGCACCGCAGAGACACTGCTTTACTCAGTCCACAGTATGAGCGATAGCATTAGTGAAAGAACACAATAAAGTCATTATTCACTTAACTTAAACTAACTGGAAAAAAAACCTGCTACCACCTCACCGCAGATAAATTGAGAAAAACCACAGTTGTAGCTTCTTTATTTATTTAGATGTTGTTTACGGATAGAGGGGTATTGGAGGGCAGTATATAATGAGGTCATGTGCTCTGTGAAGCTTATCTCCTGTGTCCATGATGACTATATATTTGTACCATGCTCCATTGCACAGGTCCTTCTTTATCAGCTACTGTATTCTGGGCAGCAGAATCAGAAAAACATCACTATTTACATCCTTGGAATTATTTGGCTGTACGGTAGGTTGAACCATTAGCTTGTCTTTCACATATTCAGGAAGTCCAAATTATTAACTACAGATTTATCATGTTAAGCCATCAGGCAAAGTGGATCTTTAAGATGTGCCTGTGAATGCTGGGTCACTATATAAAAAGGTTGGAAACACACAGTCTCTGTTAGACCGACACGTCTGTCGTTATAAAGCCTCGTGCTAGTAATTCTGTTTGCACGCTTCCTTCTGCTCAGACTGGGAATGTGCCTGAGGAAGTCAAGTGGGCAAGGCATTTCAGCGTGACTGCCCGTATTCAGACGTTGTCTGGCACATTCTATGTTTCTAATCTCCCACTCTAGACGGGAATGATGTAAATGGTTTCTGGCCATACCACTGATGATAAAAGCAAAATTGTGATCCGTGTAGACGGTGAATAATCGAAGCGTTTCACAGACACAACCTCTCAATCTCGTGGTGAATATGAAAAGTGTTCCACTTGTCAGCTTTTAGTTGAAGAGGAACATTTTAAGTCTTAGTAACAGTGACACAGTGAATGTACCAGTCCAACTTATTCCATGTCTCAAATCTCACACGATAAATCCCCAGAGAACAATTATTCCATCTGCACTCATCTATAAAGCAACTGGCAGGGATTCTTTCAGGCGATACGGTAGATCTGGACGAAGTGAGTTTTGGAAAAAAAAATAAAATAAATAAAATAAATGAAATGCTTACAAAAATTAATCATACAAGTTTAAATTCTTAAACTCTTATTAAACAGTGAAAATGCAGAATAAACTATAAACTGTGTTTTTTTAAATAAAAAAAACAAAAAACATTTGTTTGGAATAAGAACTGAAGGCGGTGCAGGACACATTACAAGTAATTAACAAATAAAACAAATATAATATCTATAATGTGTTGTAGTTACCGTATACTGTGAAACAAACAGAATAGAGTAACAAATTAAACAATATCGTGCCATACAGCTACATTTCATTTTTTAGTTTGAGCATGTCACACTCTTATACTCTTTACCTATAGGAAACAATTCATGTGAAGGGAGGGATTTCTCCCAGGCGTACGACCTGGTCTTGTGTTCTCCCTGTTGAACTATTTCTCTTTATAATGACCTCACACCACCATGTGATTCACTTTGATAAATACTAAATCCACATTTCACAACAGGCAGCGCATTGTAGGGTGAGATGTTTACAAATAGACCAACGCTATAGTGCTGCCTTGACCTTTAGAGTGATGGACCATTTGAGACCAGGGCTGCTGTTATTTTGTCACTTTCATTCTTGTCAGTATAGAAGTGTAAGAAATGGCGACAGTAAGTGAGATGTAGGCACTGCAGCTGTGAGAGGTGTCCCATTAGAGCCATACGCCGGCAATAAAACCTTACCTATAGTCGACAGCTCGCAGTGTCGGAAAAAGGTAAGAAATAAATGACTTGTCCAGAGCTAGTTGTCACAGTATAATGTAGAAAGCCAGCAGTATGTAAAGTTCTACAACCAAAATTAGTTGGTGGAATTTTACATTCTAACTAAGGCAGACTAATCCACTTACATATTAAAGGTTCCCAGTGTCTTCTGTTCCCATGCATCTGTTTTGACTGCCCCTTAATTACACTCATCAGTATAGAGATTAGAGTGTTTATCACTAATGACCCACAGAGCGGGTAGCAGACAGACTTCATCCTAATTTTCTCCGCTCGTCTTTCCTGGTCAGTGACATGTTTAGATCAGTTGTAGATCGTTAATAAAAGCCAAGAATGGTTGTTTACCAGTCTGACGTAATGGCAGGGCAACAGTGTTAAATGATGGCAGGCTGTTACATTGACAGTAACACAACACGTTGGTCGATGTCAAAAGTATAGTTTGATATTGATTCGTAGCCTTCCTCCTAGAACGAATGATTTCCAGCTGTAAATGCCAAGCTTTATGATTGTTTTCTTGTAAACACACTTCCTTCACTTCACTACACACTAGTTTAAGGAAATAACTCAACGAGGGGAAATGGAGAAGGTTAAGTGAGCAGAATTTTATGTCAAGCGTTGCTAAAAAACAGTGTATGCATGGTAAACAGAGTCTTCATTTTAATTTAAGGGTGGATAAAACTTACATCATGGTCACCACCAGGCTCTTTGCTAAGTTAAAAAGGATCTTCTTTAGTCCTTCAAACTATCCTCAGTGATTCTGTGGTTTACTAAATGCACAAAATGAAAATAATATATATATAGTGGTTTACTAAATGCACAAAATGAAAAGAATATATATATATATTTTAATTATTCAACTTTCTTTAATTTTTGTTGATTTTTAAATGCAAGGATCAATTTCTAGGTGTTCTATTGGTCTGGGAGCTAAGCTTTGGTATTTGAGTATAAGTTGTGACTGTGGCCAAATTTAGTTGAATATATAGTGTCACAAAAACTGTAATATATGCCTACCCTCTGCACCAATGCTGATTCTAGATACTCTGTTTCTTCTTTAACGACTACTGAAACATCTACACGCAGAATAATTACAAGTACCTCAAGTAAAACACACTTGCTGTCAGAGAGAATTCCTTTGACACTGGAATCTTGTCTAGTTTTATGAACTAAATTGTAACTGAGTGAAGACCAAACTTCTAACAATTTTTCATTGTGAAAGATTTTGATAGATTATTCTAACAGAGCTCAGCACGAATGCACTTGTCATTAACCAAAAAGCTGCTTTAAATAGACTTCATAGTTGACTTGTTTTTGTGCCTTTTTCTTCACAAAACTTCTACATGCTGTCACGAGTTTCTTTGATCTTGATCTAAGACAATTCAAATCATTCATTAGCTGGACGTTGCCACTGCTTTCTTACCATTTAAGACCCATTCTTCCACTAGCAAACAACAAACAACCAGCAGCTCAGCTGCCTCCAAACAATCCTTAACTTCATTTACTCACTCCACAGTGGACTGATACAGAAAAGCTCCTATGCATTTTTCTAAAGCTCTCTCAGTAAAGGGTAGTTCCACCTTCTCAACAGTTCACCCAATGGTCATGCAGAAGCTCAGCTACCACGCCGCCCACCCGCTGTCTACAGACTGCCATTGAAGCATGGCTTTTGTGGAAGCAATGATTTGTTGCCACATTTATTTCATTAGTGTCGAATCCCCACTGCGGAAAAAGCATTCCAGTGCAGCCCCATCATTAAAGCCCATTACGGCTAAATTTAAACATTGTTTAATGGAATGAGAAACACAAGGAAAAAAAAAACATTCAGACCATGTGTGATAAACAGTCTATTCTGAATGAACCAGTCATGCAGGTGATCCCCTTTTAACAGGTTTTTATGGAAATGTAAATAAAAAAAAATTGACAATTACAATTATTGCTTTATATATATATATGTATACATATATAGAACAGTATTTTGACAAATAAAATAGCACACAATTAAAAGTTCTGGTGCTTGTTGTGACATAAACCATTTGTGTCAAGAGACATCCACATACACTGAGCCTCTGTCTACTGAATCCTGCCCTTGCCCTTGATTTGCTTCATGACATTGAAGTTTGATAAAAACGTGATTTCCCATTTTGTTTTTGTTTTTTTTTTATTCAAGGGCATCATTCATGCCACACACAGTTTTGCATTTAATGTTTCAAAAAACATAAAACTTTGTTGTACATTGACTTATTACAAAACATCAAGGACAAACTCGTGTTTTGCTCAACGAGTTATTCGTTCAGAATATATCTCCACTAGTGTGAAGCGGCAGGATTATAAGAGCTCGTAGGAGGTCTACGATTCCTCCGCCTTCTCCCATTGTACCAGATGGTGGCCTAATGAGCTGAAGCTGCCACTGTTAAAGTTATAGACTGCACTCAGGGATGTGCTGGTAAATAGTAAGATACCCTTTGCTAATTTTAACATATATAGTCATATAAAATAGCCAGCACAGTCAAAAAAGAATGGCAAAGGAAGTGTCATGATTTATATAAGGACACAGGAGAACAACTTCACTGTTGGAGCCGAGACCAGTCGACAGACACATTCTAGAACACGTACATTTCTTTCCATCACTGACCATTACCATCCCTGCAAGTATTAGCAGTGTTAACATTGGCCTTTAGAAGCAGGCAGACATGCAAATAGCTAATCTGCAGGGGTCCATATTTGTTCTCAGGAGGTTACGCTTACATGGAGCTTTAGGAATAAAAAGCATTCGAGTGATGAAATAGTTAACGTTACCCTGCATAGGCAGCCACTTTGATGTCTAATCAAACTAGGAGTTTTGTATTAGCCCGGAGATTTCCACACTGACGGCAATGATATTTGATAGAATGGTTGAGAATCTTTCAGAATTTATGATTAATCTCTGAATCATGATACTGGGAATCAATGAACAACCCCACAAGTTTATTTTATACACAAAGTAGGTCAATCTGTTCGGGTATTAAAATCTGTTCAAATTTTTTATCTGATTAAACTTCACAAATTAATTAATGCCATTAAGGCGTTTATTTCGACAGCCCTAATTATAATCATCTGCAAGTGGGCAGTGTGGCCTGGTGGTTAAGGAAGTAAACTTGTGTCCAGAAGGTCATAAGTTTAAATCCACCAGTTCCCACATGCTGCTCCCCGGACACTGAGCCAGGGCTGCCCCTGCTCACTAAGGTCATGGGTTATGGCAGAGGTCACACTTCATTGTGTGCAGTGGTGTGCTGTGTCACAACGACAATAATTCACTTTCACTTCAATACTAATGCAATTCACCCATATAGTAGATCCATCACAGTAACTACTGGTGCAGGTGGTTAACCTACATTCCATTAACCTTGTCTTTACTGATAACTAGAGCTTCCAAGTGTGTTTGTTTTTTTATCATTTCTACCTGAAACGATGCAGGGAAAGTGATTTCCTAAGGCCTTACACACAGAACTGTCACATAAATAAAGACATGTTGTGTCACATTCCATTACCCTCCCATTAAATTAAACCTTGCCAACACCCTAATAATCTCAAGTTTGCACAGCAGGGCAGTAACATGTTATCCAGAGCCTAATTCTGTCTAATTGAGTAACGACAGCAACTCTGAGTTGTGACAGTTCCATTGCAAGGTCAGTCCAAAGTGTTGCCAGAGTCCCACAGAGAAACTAAGTCAAACCCACTGCTGCCACAGAGCGCACAGCTGGAGAGATCCGCAAATCCAATAAATCTAACTGCAGGTACCAAAAGCACACATGTGAACGAGAGCGCAAGTGAGAGCACCCTTCCCCCGTCTTCCCCCCCCCACAGGCACACACATAAGACAAAAGTGCTGCGGAGGACCTGTGTGATTTATCCCTTTTCAGTGTCTGGTGTTTATGGCACACTTTATTTATTTTATTTCCCTGTTACGTGAATATGGGGGCTTCGGTTTACGACGCCTTTGACCTACGGCACTTCTTGATTACGTTGCCATCACCCATAAATTTATCAAGATAGTGTTGCACGCTTTCGACGTATGTTGTTAAAACTCGCCAACTAGCTGGCATGGTTTGATGAGCGGAGCAGATGGATATGTCATCACGTGACTACACGCAGAAGACGTCCTTGTTTACGTTAACATTAGCTCTAAGACTTTCTATTGTTATGCTACTAATTTCTTTGATTTTACTTCATACCTCTTCCTCTCCTGTTATAATTTCTATCACCAAACAATGTCATCACTGTTTTTTTATATTGTTGTGTGTCTAATAACAAGTGTTGAAATTCTTTTGATTTTGTTTACCAGATGATTATCCCTGCTTCTCACAGCTAAATTATTATTTGTTTTTACAACAGCCCTGGTATTGTCAACTTTTGAAATGTATTCACTCTAATTGTGAATTTGTGTAAAGTTATGTTGTGCTCAGCAGAGGGTTCTACATTCCTGTTTGTTTAATGATGGTCTTTGTGGTGGAGATTTAAAGTGTTCGTTTTGTGAAAACTTTTTAAATTCACCCTTATTACACTCAAAGGTACTGTTAGCTTTTGTGAAACTTAGAGAAGGACACACAATAAAATGTCCGACTGTCCGTTAAATCCAATAGTACCGTTTTGTTAGTGCCATTATTCAATACTGTAAAAAACATGTAATCCAGTGAAGATTGCTTGTTGAGAATAAATATGAGTAAAAAGGGGAAAACAAGACTTAATTATAAACTGTAATTACTTATAAATGATGCCTATCATAGATTGGTGACCAATAAATGTGTTGGAGAAATACATATGGACCTTACCTGGAACATGGTCATAATTCGTGTCTTAATAACTTGGCCACTCTGTAAAAAAAAAAAAGAAAAAAAAAGAACTTGTTAATTTAAGTCACATTTCAAATCAAAACATGTTGTTGCACCTGTGATCTGTTAAGATTTTATTACATTTCCAAGGCATAGCTCCCTGACCCTGATCCCTTGAGTTAAGCTATGTTAATATATGGCAGTAGTTTCCAAACATTTTCTGCAGCGCCCCCTTTCATAGACCACTACTTTTTCAATATAGCCACTTTTTTTTTTTCTTCAGAATGCCACTGGCCTTTTTTAAACACTAATTTCTATGGAACAACCAAGGAAATAAAATTTCAGTTGAGTCTAAAATATTGTGAAAATGAATTACACTGATGTGTCCCTCCCTCCAATATCTCCATGCACACCCAGGTCCCCACACCTCACTTTGGCAACCACTGTTACATAATATTATATAAAGTCCAGTGTAAGTTGGAGTGAACTTAGCCCTGGGGAATTCTATAAGGTGCAAACTTTCCTGGTAGGAGTGAACGTCAGCAAAAAGAGGTTTTATGCTCTGAGTGCCAAAACAGCTTGTCTTGTCTCTTTTCAAATAGAACAAATTTTTAAGGCAGAGATCATGAACATCTTCTTCATCTTCTTGCTACAGATAACGAGACTGAGAAAGGAATTGGAGGAGTTGTACTTTTTATTTTCCTTATTTCTTACTTTCTTATTCTATCTTGTAGTGTTACAGTTGTGATTTAAAGGCATTTAAAAAATTTACAAATTGATTATCCAAATACATTTAACACAAACCATCCATCCATTCTTCCGTCCATCCATCCATCCATCCATCCATCCATCCGTCATTGCAGTCAAAACTATTTTTTCCATTAGAGGTAAGAATGCATTTAAAGAGCATTATTTCATAAGCCATAAGTGATAGTAACCATTTATGTCTGGCAGACCGGCAGGGCTACAGATCCTGGCGTTCTGAAGGGTAGCAGGGTTGGGGCTGTTAGCATAAGGCATTTAATAGTGCTAAGACCTAAGCAGTTACAGGCTGTTAAGGTGTAAGAGCCTTCAAGGAAATTGTGGCTCTCCGGCCCGGAAGAGTGTTAAATAAGGAATCCAAGAGTAGCCTTATGACCGCTAATGACAGCACAGCAGGCCAAGGGTAAAAATAACTGATGTGTAGACCATTAAATCTTCCAGCCCCGGTGTGTCAGAATTAAGACTGCATTTAAAACATGTGGAAATTTAATTCAAAACTGACATTACTACACTATACTACACTAAAAATGTTGCTCTTATTCTTATGAAACCATATATATATAGATATAATTTTTTTATTTAATTTTTTTCTCTAATCATTTTTCTGCAGATTTAACTATAGTGAGTCACATTACTGCCAGTAGTTTTTCTTTTTATGTCCTTCACTTACAATGTCTGCAAAATTACATTTTAGAAAACAAATTTTAAATGTGCTTTTTTTAGGAAACAAATGAACAAAATAGAAGGAAAGAAATAAAAAAAAAAACACCAGAACAGATGTGGACCCTAATGTTTAGTTTTAGTTCGCAGTGTTTTGAATTGATTAACGGACATTATGATACAATTCCTATTTGTCAAGTTAGAGGAAAACGCAAAGATTCTAGTACCTTAATATACACTTCAAAGAATCTGTTTTGTTGATACTATATTGTTAATATTTCTTTACTTTATTACGAAATACCCAAATACACATACCGATTTCCAATGTAATATCCTTTAATTGCAGCATAACAGCTTTTTTGTCTAAACTAGTTAGAACTAATTTGTTTAGGCTGCATTTCCATCTAATCAGCACTAATTGTGTTATAACAACCTGCTGTGGAAAGATCAGTATAATTGCTTTTGCACAGAGAGAGCTCTACACTTCCTGGTTGTTTTGATGCCATTTGTTTTCTGTTCCCAAAAGTAAAAGTGATAGTGCTTCATCACAACAACAGCTGCTTGCTAGTAATGGTGCTTTTGCGCTCAGTAATGATCTAAAGGTTCTCTGACTGAGAAGTCGGAGGAGTGTTTTGTCATAAATTGGTTGACATTGTCCTTGGAGGATAACGAGCTTGTTGAATTTAAGGGTCAGAGGTGAAAGGTATTAATCCATCCATCCATCCATCCACTCATCCATCCGTGTGTGTGTGTGTGTATGTGTGTGAGGAGAGACGTATAAAAGAGCTGTTTTAAACATTTCATCAATAACCATTAAAAACTGAACCTATGATCTTAACCGCCCTCTCTACGATGTACAGTATGTATTGTTGCTCAAAGGCAGATGACTTTCCCATATATCAGATCATAGGCCGAAGGTGAGAATATTTAAATTCACATGCCCACATCATTATTTGATGTCTACATGTAACTCTATATCCTACGGACCACATATAGTTCAGCTCTATCGTTGTGTTACTCCAGCTGAGATGTTGAATTACCTTTGACAAACACCTCTGTGTCACAGGTCCTGGTTTTAAACAATTAGCACCAGTTGTTACATAGAACCAGCTTTCTATCCGTACCTTTTTTGTTTCTTCTCCTATAATACCACAGATAAAAGGACTACACAGACTGTGGTGTTTGAATTTCGGTCTCCACCAACAAAAAGAAGAAAACAATGGAAATTAGGAACAGCTTCACATTCAAAATAGTGTACTTGGATTTTTGTTGTACCAGAGAAGAGCCAAAACAAATTTGGGATGAAGCTGCAGCACAAGAGCACGACGAGCAATCCACTTTAGTTTTAGCCTCTCCTGCATTTCTGGTATGAAGGATGGCTTTAATCCTGTCACGGTTTAATAACTGGGTGGTAATGATATTTGTGCTCATTATGGCTCAGAGAAAGCTGATGTTCAGAGGAAGGAGGATGGTATCGTAGGAGAGAATAGCATCTGTATTGTCTGTGTATCAATGCCTGTAAGACATTGATGATGTCATCATCACCACCTATGTGATGTATGAATAAAACAACAAAAATATTATTTTTAGCCTGGCTGCCCATCAGAGATTCTTAGTCTGTACTGTCGAATTGATATGGAAGGCATTTTAATGTTTACATTTAGTCGGAAAAGAGCATTCATCTTCCATTATGTTAAGCAGGAAGGATAACGTTTTTCCAAGCTGGGACATTAACTTTAATTGTCTGTATAAAAACTGTCTAAAACTTAAACTGACTGAAACGTAGTTGGCTTTTTTTTTTAATTGAAATTCCATTTCCACTCAGATGTGCTTTGGTTGTACATTTTCATTTCTGTTTTACACACTGTTTAGTGTTGGATGTGAATTCATACACAGAATAACGCTCACGCACGGAGACAGGCGCATTCAAAAAGAGTCGTATGATTTCCAATTCAGCTCTCGGAGCGGACGCCTAAGTGTTTACAGCAGGGCCATTTTGTTTTTCAATTTAGAGTCAAATTGGAAAACGTAAAAACTGCCATTGTCACACAACTTGCATATGATTACATTTTTCATTGCGCACATTTGTTCTCAATGAGGACCAACACTTGATGTCTCCATTTACAACATACAGATTGTTTCCACCTTTCTGTTACAGATATAATCTCTATTTGTGCCATTCCTGTTTGAATATTGCAGTCAATATTTTGGACTGGGTAGGAAATGCCATCAAATGGAACACATTGATATTATTATTATTGTATTATTATTATTATATATTTGTTACTGTTAAAAACTGGAGGTAAAAATAATGGAGGTAATGGAGGTATTAGTAAACAAAAAGAAAAGTAAGAAAATCCATTCTAAAGGTTGATGTTTCTTTAACATACTTTATAGCATTGACTGTTGGTTTGCTAAGGGGGTCCAGCCAGAAGCTAATGCTGATTGGGGGGGCCCTGGATTGGGAACCCATGTTCTACTGAACCAAGACACATAAAAGCTTAAATTACTTTTCAATGAGGAGGGAATGTTAGAATATGTGTTATAAAAGCCTTTTCATTGTAATCCATCTTCTACTAGTTCCCCTGTTTTTTCCTCTGCTGCAGCAAACCTTAATCCCTCCTTCATTTTTCTTGCCTGGGGGAGCCCATGTTTCCCAGGAGGTCGCTACTTCAGAACCTAAATGGCATTAATGAGCTGTCCGCCTGAGCAAATGCATCCCGAAAAAGGCAGACTACAAAACAAAACTGCAGCATTTTTCTCCTTTATTTTATAAAGCATCAGAGACAGTCCTGAGTCACTAATTTTTGGCAGTAGAAGGAACATTTCTCCGTCCCACAAAAGCTGTGGAAAAAGCGGGATGGGAAGCATGAGAGCCAGCTCATTTAACATCAACTGTCTGAGAGGGAGAACGGTGCTACTTGAATTAGCTGGAGGGTTTGCACTTTGCATTCTCTTTAAAGCTCTGCCATCCTATACAAAAAGGAATTGTGAATGTTGCTCTTGTATAATTCAAACGCAACGTGTTTCACATATGTTTCTGCAGACATTCTCTGCCTGGTGAGCGGTTAATGTTTTTTTAAATATTTTTTTGAACAAACAAATGTTGTTGTAGAAAGAGTTACTTTTTGATGTGATATTCGCAGCAAGACTTCAAACGCAAGCACATGCAGGAAGATACTTCAAGCAAAGCAAATGACGGAGAAAACATTATTTAAATCTATAGATTTAATGTAAATGTTCAAGGCCGTTTAACTACATCTCCAATCTGTGTATTTTCAGACTGTGAAAGAACATGCAAAAATACTAATAATAATATAATATTTAATAATAATATAATATTTATATATATATATATATATATATATATATATATATTAATGATATCAGTTCAAAGACTGGTAACTGCAGACAAATACTCTAAAGTTCTTGGTTGGGGTAAATCCATGGTTCAAGTATCAATGCTATGTTGACAGGTGTGCTGGTTTGAAACATTGGCTCCTACATGTTAGCAGTAAACAACAATAGACGTGATCTATGTGGTGATCGAGGACTTCACTCTGGCTAGGTCAGTTGTTAGCATAGCAGCTAACATCTGTGTGCTAGCCGTACAGGGTACA